GAATATATAGTTATTAGTGTAATTATAAAGTTAACCTAGCTATAATAGCCTAATTATAAGATAGCTATTTTAAATTATAAATAAGAGTCTGGATATTTTAAAGATAAAAGTATTATAATTAGAAGAGGAAAATAAAGCTTTAAAGTAATAATTAGCCTAATTAAAAAAGAGAAAAAAAGCTATAATTAAAAAGAATTTAAATAAGCTTTTTATTTCTATTTAAAATATTAAAGCTATAAAATAATAGGTAAAATCTTTTAAGTTAGAATATTTAGAATAGCTAATTTTACTTAAATTTCTATTAGCTAATTTATTAATATTTAAAAATCTTAGTTATTTTTTTATAAGAAAAGTCTTTAAATAAATTAATTAGAATATTTAATTATTATTTTATTTATATTTAAAGTTAGTAGGTAGCTTAATTAACTATATAAGTAGGGGTAGTCTAAAGATAGATTAATCTATTATTAGAGTACTTAACTTATAAGTAATTATTAATATTATTATTATTATATTAATTTCTATCTATCTAATTAAATTAATTATAATAAATCTATTATTTTAAATACCTTTAGATAGTAGAATATATATAGATATTAATTAATTTATATACTTAGAGGGGGTTAGTAGTAAGAGTAATATAGAATAGAATCTCTATATTAATAAAAATAGATAGAAAGTATATTTTAACTCAGTATTAAATATAGCCTTTTATTAAATTAAGACTTTATATAGTAGTATAATATATATCTCTATATTATATAGAATTAACTAAAAGTTACTTACTAAGCTAGTAGTAATAGATAGTAACTTTTATCTTTAGTAGCAATATTCCTATTCTTTTAAGTATAAATAGAACTTCTATAACCCTTAATTAATATAGGAATAACCTTCTTAATTAATATTATTTTAATTAATAACTTATGCTATTGTATATAGCAAATTGCATATCCAACACCTTCTATAAAGTTACTCTATCTCGGCGCTATACCCAATTAAATTAATCGTAAGCCAAGACTTTTCTCATATCAGCAACTAACTTATTAAACTTTAATCTATTAAATATTCCAAACCAAGATAACTTATTCTACAGGATAGGGAAAAATATAGAACTAGTCTTATTCAATTATATTTTTCTTGCTCTATTGTCCATATCATTTTTGCTCTATTCCGAGCAAATTTTGTTTTCGGAACTCACCCATCATCCCTAACCCCCATATTTCGATATGACTCACAGCATTGTTGACAAAACACTCACAAAGCGCAGGCAAGTTGAGCAGCACTCCAAAAAGGATTATGCTAAAAAGGCCATTCAGTAGGCACGAGGTAAGGCATTCCAACGCTAAAAGGTCCCGAGTCTTACAGACACTGACAATTCTCAGCCCTGAAACTTCTTGACCCATCCATCACACTTATCCTCTGGCAAAGACGGCTACTCAGACTGGGACCGATACGTCCTCTAGCAGTGCATCAAATCCGTCGACATGCATTCCATCCATTACTACTCCATGGGCAAAGGCCACTACGCAAACATCTCGTCCGTGTACGCCGCCGAACGCGCCATCCAAGTGTGCGGACCTCGGAATGGCGACCATCGCGCAGAGCGTCAACGTTATTGCGCCACTTATGACTACGCCCGTGGGTATCTGGAAGCAGACGACTTACTTTCCACTGCTGCTCTTTTCTAAGTACATGCGCGGAAAGTCGGTCGCTGTACACGTTCGAACGGGAACGTATCAAGGCAAGACATTTCCCGAGTGGGTTGAGACGACTTGCACGGTGCCCAAGCTTGATGTCAGTGCTGCTATTGATGCCAATGGGTGGATGAACTTGGCTGTTGTTAACTTAGATGAGGCCAAAAGCTTCTCGACGCAGTTAAGCAGTATCAAGAAGGGCGTCGAAGTGCAGGTTTTCACCGTGGGCGGTGACAAGTTTGTGGTGACAGACACTAATTCGCCAAAGGATGAGAAGGTTAGCATCATAGAGTCAAAATGGGTCGCCATTGGTGATGTATATACCTTTGAGCGCTTGAGCTTCACGTTGTTGCGTTGGAAAACTTCCGTTCTCTTTAAGAATTAGATCATCATGTTTTGCTTTTAACTCAAAATACGAGAAAATATTTCTAGAATAAATTTCATTTAACATTTTATGAGAATTTGACGTGATATACTATATATGTGCTCTGCGATCCCCGACATTATCTCTACTCGATCAATACAGGTCCTAAGCTATACCAGCTGCAGTTCGATTCTACCCCCTATTCTACTTATTCTAATCTCGGCTTACTTCCACTGATCCTTGCTCTTGAAATTGCTATCAAAACTGTATGTAAATGTGTGGAAGGGATCCGCCTTGAGAGTAGGCAAACAGAGCATTTCAGATTCAATTACGACATTTGCAGCACATATGACTCCTCCCAGAACCAATGCTATCACCGCAGAAAGAAATGCCCAGCGAACCGTGACCAGCCTCCTCCATTGCGCTGAAAAAGTACAAAGGTCCCTAGCGCTTCATAAACCAAAACCGTTTTGTCTGCGAGAGAGCACTGCCGACTATAAATGCAAGAGGGGCTTTGATTACGACGGCCAGCATAAATGCGGCAGTGTTCAACGAAAGCGGCAATGTTACTGTTGAGAGATTTCAGGAGCTTGTAGTTTAAAAGACTCGTCTCTCATATCATTGTACAAGCAACTTGCTAGTAGAAGAGCTAAATGCAGGTTAGATAGAAAGTTCAGTAGAGTATACTAGTAACGTCAAATGAGAAATTGATTCCGAATCTTCTTAATAGCCCTAGGCGCACGAGTCCAGCCGTTTACAGTAAGTCATCCCCCTAATCAAGGGTACGCAAGGTTGTTAGGATCACGCTCATCGTAGTCTCGTCGATACAACGGCCGCTCTGAACTTCCTCCTTCATATCTAACGTAGCCAGGACTTAAAGACGCTCTGTTCATAAAGCGAGTCGGAGTCGCAGCGCCACGCAAGTCATGACCCTGAGGCTCAGGATCTAACTGCCTCTCGGGAGTACTCCTATTGCTCAAAGAAGCAGCAGAAAAAGATGACGATTGACGTCCAAATGAGCGGCGTTGATGGCGATCCCCGCCTGGTCGATTCTGTGTGCTCATAGTGTTATCACTAAACCCTCGACTAGATCGCTCTTCGCGGTGTTCTGCTATCTCGCTGTCTGTCTTGTGAAATAGTTCTTGCCGGTACCTATCGTAGTTTTCAATTGCTTTCAGCACATGCTCGAAGTGTTCACGGCCTAGATATCTAATCCACCCGGCATCCTCACTTCTCTTATCTGTGTAGGCTAGAGAGGTGGCGACCTGGAAAGCGTTGCGGATCTGACGTCCATTCCACCAGGGAGCTGAGGGATCTGTACGCTGGTGAAACTTCTGCATCGCAAATTCCGTGATCTCGTCTCCTTTGATTATCAACTCTGGCTGGTCTGTGTTTGCAGCGCGTTGTTTTGCAATCAGCGTGGATCGCTTGAGGTTCATTTGAAAAAGAGCCAAGGTCTGAGGTGCATCCAGATGTTTGAAGTGAAGGCTAACGTGGACGCGTGAGTTGAGTGCCTCATCCAAAACTCCCACACGATTAGTTGTGAGAAATAATATGCCAGGGTAATACTCTAGAGTCCGAAGGAAAACTAGAGGAAATGTCAGAACCATGTCTAGTTAGTAGAATTATGCTAGACATGTGCTTACTTGATACTAGGGCGTTTCTCTGGAGGTTATCATCTTTCTTCTCTCGATGGGACAAAAAGATCTCCGCCTCATCAAGGAGAAGTACACAATCCCATAGATTAGCCAAGCGAAAGATCTCAGATAGCGTCGATTCCACCTTGATAGGGTCAATTCCTAGGTCACCGCAAGTGATTGGAAATAGAGGCTTGCGATGTGCATACGCAACAGCTTCAGCAGTGGCAGTCTTGCCGACTCCAGGGGCACCATGAAGGAGAATGACGAGTCCTTTCCCTTTACCCCGTATGAAGTCTTGTTCCACAGGCTCTGTACCCTTGTTTTGGAGAGTTCGCTGGATGTCCTTCTTATCAAAATGATCGCGAACTATAGATCTGATCAAGCTCTTGTCTGAATCGGTTATCTTGAGCTCGTTGAAAGGATCAGATACTACAGGAAGCGGCTTTAGATTTGCAATGTTCGCATTAACAAACCGCCGCTGACGTAGAGAGTACACAAACAATCTTGCAGGGAGAAGTGCAAGGTCTTCAGGCGTGAATTTTTGCTTGGCGGGGTCGGTCTCGATTGGCCTTACTTCCGGGTCAACGACGAAATCATCTTTTTCGAGGAACTTGTTCCAATCCAATGACATGACATCGTCATAATCGACAACAATCTCTTTCGTTTTCCGAATGACTTTAGAGCGATCTGCTCCAGACCATTGGATGATTGCAAAGTCGTCGTACTCAGTATCGGGCTCGAACACGTTCATGCCACCTTTCAAGAAACCCGGTTTCCATAATGGGCGCATTTGATAAGCTTCCTGGAAGTCTATAATCGTATCGCTGTCGATATATTCTGACTTCTCGTCATGCGAAAGACTATTACCCGATGGATCGTGAGTTAAAGTCCAGCCGTCATGTTCCACAGCCGGGTGTGACTGTTGTAGCAAATCTCGGAAACGCTGTCCTCTCGTTTGGAGCTCCTGGATCGTGCTCTTGTAGTCTTTCTCAAACCGGACTGGATAAACCTCCAGTTTTGTGACTTCCTTCTCATCATCGAACCTGGTGATGGTCCAGCCACGGGCCACAGCTCTGTATGAGGTTCCATCAAAGTCGATGTAATACGCCCACACACCTACAGCATCCGGGGTCTCCATGGTGTTACGTCGGAGGTCACCATCAGCCTGATCAAGATTATCGACGGTCCAGTCAATGTCGTCCGAGCCAATCCAGTAGACCCTCCATAGGCGCCGTGCTTCTGGGTGTCCGCCGGTTGGACGACGATTATTGGTACCTTTGCTGGCAGAGTCCGTCTTGGAATCGTCTTGTTGAAAAATAAGTTCTCCCAGTCGGAAGAGAGACCAAAGGTCAGCATATTCGACCTTGGCCCGGTGGGTGTGGTTGAGCTCGTCAAACTTGTGATAGGGTGGGAGAAGCCTTGCCTTGACGAATTCCAAGTAGGCTTTGATCTCATTATGCCCTTTGCGGTCGATTGTGTTCAGGTCTGCGGAGTCTGGTTCCTCCTTTGGCTTGTTACCCTTCGTTTCTCGCACAGCACTGGCAGCAGAGGATTCCCCAAGAGACGTGCAGGAGCTCTGATTTGCATTTCTGGGGGTGCATGAGCCAGAATCTGGGTCGAGTCTGGTCCCGTCCCCCGCTGCTAGATCTAGTCGTGACTGAGTAGCATCTGAGAGAACTTGCTGGGAGTCGTCTCCAGCCAATGTTGGAATTAAATCGCTGGGTGACTCAAATTTGGCTTGCAATTTGACAAATTCTTCTTCCATCTTGTCGTGGAAGTGAATAAGGATCTCGAAAGGCCTCAGGAAGGTGTGAGGCTTATCAGACCAAGTAGTCTCACCAGTGACCTTCCTGAGAAGGGATAAAACGGCTGGCGAGTTGATGCGAACACGCTCGACGCGCCTTTTGTCCACGACTTTGCTAGCATCAGATCGAGGAGCAGGCCTGGTACGATTGGCCTCGACGAACTTGATTCTCTCTTTGTCGGGCAAGCGCCTGAGTTGTTCTGCTTCCATCTCTCCATCAAGGTCAACTCCAGATAGGAGCGCTTCCACCGCGTAAGTGCATTCTTCGTCAGAATAGCGATTCTTGAACTGCTCCCAATTGCATTCCCGCACCTTCGGCTCTGTTTCGATCTCATCAAGATCTTCCTCTTCGTTGGTGTTGGCGTCGCCATGTTCTTCATTCTTGGGAATACCCTCCAGCTTTACCAGACGTGATGTCATGTCCTTCAGCCATTCATATGTGACGCCACTGGTTAGTTCTGAGACATTGACTGGCTGTGACCATGATGGCTTTGCCAGTTCTCCTTTGGGTCGAGAGTCAATATCCAGTAATTCGATTGAAGGCATTTTTCACTCACCTTCCTTGCGCTCTTTCGGCGACGACCTCCCATCTTCGCTGGAGCTCGAACTAGTACTTTCAATCTTTTCTTCTTTCAAAGTTCCTGGTTGTTTTACAGTAATGTCTTCGACACTTTCAGACATCGCTGGCTCAGCAAGTGAAGATTCCTGTTTGAGTATCGGCTCACTAGGGTTAAGAGCCGGTCCCTGTTCCCTTTCCTCATACATAGCAGGTTGCATTGCAAAGATTGAGTGTGAATTCTCTCACAAAACAACGATCAAAACGGAGGTTAAGTAAACAGTGACTGAGTTCGAAGACTTGTGGAAGAGCGAGTACAAGGGAAGCGACGAGACTTCCGCAACCATAACGGAGCGGGGTCCGATGGAATCTTGACAATATACGAGTGGCAAGATTGTGTTTTGACTGTTGGCTCGAACCACTTCCTGTTTGGTTAATTGACATACGTGTCTCCTATTGCGGCTAGTCAACTGTAACGACAGTATATGTACAAGAACGTTTCGGGCATGATTTGAGCGGTCGGCTATGTAATCGGCCAATAGAAGGCCGCGGATGCAGAAAGTGCAATACGGATATGCGCGCATGACCCCCCAGTGCTTTCAGCTCAATGCACATCAACTGCCAGTTGTCAGGTTGATAGGCTGTCATTAGAGGCTTGGCCAACAGCCTGCTTCTAGCCGAGATAAGCACGCAATCATGAGGTCAGTTCAGCTTATTGTGGATGTACATTTGGAAGCCGTTGGGCTCACTCCATTGGCTGTGACTAGGGCTGACATGCAGTAGGAAAGTGCAACTTGAGTATGATCACTTGATCCTTTCATAGTCCTCCCAGTCGCCAGATACAACCCATCCCAGGTCTTTTCCCAGTTAAACCATGTTGCCTTTACCAGAAATACCTGCAAGACAACGGCGGTTTGGTACCGAAATGTCTCAGGCTCGGATCCCACACTTGCATGCACTCGACACACTCTTATCCTAATGTAGTAAGGCCCGGAGTGGACGCCACGGGCCTTTTCACTTCTAGCAATACCAAAACATTCCCCATAAATGCCTCATCATCTGTATTTAATTTTGAGTCCCTTGCGCACGAATATCGACAAAGTGATGATAGGGTTACTGTTTCAATAAATTTAGGGAATGACAGGCTTCGAAAGAAACTTCCCTTCAACCCTACGGGAGCGAATGAATGACGACCGCGAGATATTCATTTTCCAGTCGTGGCTTCGAAATTATTCAGAGCAAATCATGAATATCCCCTCCACGTCCCAACTTTTATATGATAAAGACACATCGCGCTTCGTCCACAAACTTGAAAACTCGTGTGTACCCAAAATCTCTTTCCCCAGCTGAACAGCTCCCCGTACCACAGACTTCTTAATTATTGAAACAAGATGAACAACCATCCTGGCAGTGACACTAATGGATCGCAGTGGACTGAGACATGCTATTCAGCGGTACCGGGCTGCTCAGGCCACCGAGTTTGATCGCAACATTTGGTCAAACTACGACCCCGAATCGTGTTCTTGGATTCAAGTCTTCGATGAGCTCGAGAAAGCCAAGAAGGAATACGAGTCTCGCGCGAATAACAATGTTTTTCGAAAGGCCATTCGGAAGGGCCACGGCATTGCCAGAAACGTTAAACCTTTTCTGGAAGGCATCCCTCAGGACGATGGATTGGGATTGCTGAAAGGAGCATTGCTAATCATCTTCAAGGTAAGAAAAGTAGAACAAGGCCCTAAACTTTGAGTATATTCGACAAGACCTTGGCCACATGAACGTTGACTCGCAATTGGTGAAACAGGCGGTGCAGGACAGATCAGTTGCTCGCGAAAAGATTTATGACAGCTTTTCCAGCATGCCTAAAGCAATAATCGACGCCGAGAGATTACGCCAACATTACCCCGACGACGAATCATTATTCTTTGCATTTCAGAACCTGAATGACGAGCTTATCAAGGCTATACCATCTCTCATTGACGTCCTTCTGAGAAGAACCGAAAAATCCAGTGGGTATCTTTGTTATGTCTTCTTCAAAGGATGTTTAATAATCTCGACTACAGAAGTCAGAGCACTGACGAAGTCTGTCTTTTATGATCCGGTAGCCGAAGTAGAAGACATTTTGAAGCTAGTGAACGTCGCGAAAGAAAATCTCGATCGTTGCCGAGATAACTTGAATACAGGGGAGATCGCAATAATAAGGCCAGGGTTACAGCTTATGCACGAAAACGTCATTCACAGCAGAGATCAAATGAGCCAAGGATTCAGTCACGTTGGCCAACAGCTTACACAGCTCACGCAAGCCACAGAAGAAGCAAACAACATTAACACCTTGAAGCTTGGAGAACTCCAAGCACGGAGAGATTCAGTACCCGAAGATATGTCTTTATTAACCAGAGAATTGATATCGACGAGGGAACTCGTCACTTCATTGTATACTCTGGTCCAGGAAAGAATGAGGATTACACCGCCATATCCAGGTCTGTTTTGCTGAGCCCGAAACGTGGCACTACGTTTCTAACAATGACGCAAATAGCACCGGATGATTCACCATCAACCGCAGATTTTATGGTGCAGGATATTATGGAGACCATATGCAGCAAGAACGAGAGAACGGCACACGTTCGGGATCTGGGCTTTGTCCTCCGCAAATATCACGAGTTCAGTCCCAAGGCACTTGGGCGAGCAAAATACCTAATGGAGACGTCCGAGTTCCATGGTTGGTTCCTGAGTACTGGCTCTGAGATGTTGCTTGTAGATGGACACTGCGATGATCAGAGTATTGGCCGTCTTGCACCAACTTCCCTTACTTGCGCTGGGCTTGTTGAAACCTATGTCCATGAGGACTACAATTCGACGGCTTTGACATTAGCGCAAACACCGAGGATCATCCTATACTTCTTTGCGGGGGAGCACATCAACTCTAACAACGGCCTCCACGGGCCTCACGGGTTGATTCGGAGTCTTGTATACCAGCTTCTTTTACAATGGCCCGAAGACGGACTTCCAGACCCGAGACTTTTCAGAAGTCAACTGAATGCAGCGAGATCCGCCGGAGAACTCAGCACGACATCTTTATGCTTCATTTTCGAACAGCTTGTGTGCCAACTGAGCTCCGACTTTCCAGTGTGCTGCATTATCGACGGGGTGTCGTATTTTGAGACGAGTTTGTATGGATGGAGAGATGACTTGACAAACATAGTCAACTGTTTCTTATCATGCAAGGAAGCAAAGTCTGCGTATGAAGGACAGGGAACTATTAAGTTTTTGCTAGTCAGTCCGGATAAGAGCACGAGTGTTTGGCGCCTTATCAATCAGGTGGATCATGTTGATTTGAGAGCTGGCAATATGCATTCCTGATCCGTGTACTAGAGCAGCATGTGTACTGAGATGCTGAGGGCAGAAGACTTGTGCTGGGAATGAAAAAGCCAAGATGAGAGATTCTCCCATGTGCGCAATCCAATCCCAAGGGCTGGTCGGCCATCCTTCTAGCTGTCTCACTCTCACAGAATCCCTACAACTAAGATAGGGGGGGGATTGCTTCGATTTATGAACAGCGCTATGCAACAGACAACGACGAATTCGAATGTACAGTTCATAGTGTTAAAAAAGTTGCAGATTTCCGTTCGCCGTGTTCAGACTGCCAGTCCTTTTTGTCGCGATGTTATCGAAACGTGAAGCGACGTCAACTATAGTCTTGCATCACGATTATACTTTCCATTAAGGCGAATCGGCGAAATGGGACGATGTTATCCAAGACTGTTGCTCAATTGCCCCTGGGTCGACCTCGGTGGGCTGGATTTCGAAGCACGCTTTTCCGTGAAGGACTCTCAGTCAGAGCGGCGGAAGCGCAATATTGTGCCGTAATCTGCTTTTGTTTAGTATGTGTAATATCTAAATTTGAATCAAAACTCATTGTCAGCGAGGAACAAATAAAAGAGTATTTGCCATCGCACGCAATAATCATGTCTAATGGATCGGGTAATGATGATCATGCTTGTCTTACGCAGCTAGCAATGGTGATGGCAGGCCGAGGCTTTGCTCTGGACACATCGTATGGCTGTGGATGAACTACCGAATTATGCAGCAACACCTACCCGAGTCTTATTGGCTTTTACACAGGGCAGAATCGTCCGCTTTACTTGAGTTGGCACCCCGAAAGGCATTCAATATGCACCTCGAGGGCGTGTGACCGGATCAGCCCCCAACATGCGCCCTGAGTCGCCCAGCCGAGCCAATTACTACTTGCAGCTTTGAGATATACTACTGGCTCCCCAACCCCCTCACGAAGCCGGTTGGTATATGTACAGCCAACGCAGCACCACCATTCATCATGGGCAATGTGCAGATGGTCAAGGCAATTTCACCCGGTTGGCTGCTTACTGCGGTGGACGAGGGCGAACCGATGGATCTGCCTTGAGCGATGCCTCCCAGTACGCCCTTCAGTCGCATGCCACACCATCAATTGTCCGCCTCACAGGCTGCCAATGCCACCCACCTTCTGCAAGAGGCTTCAACCCGTCGCGGGCGTCGAAGCGTGACAGCGTGGCGTCGCCGTCAGATCCAACAAAAGCCGTGAGCCAGGTTGGGAGAAATGAACGACGCACGAGATTTGCAACTCTTCTCCTCTCCACCTACATAACAGCCATTCCGACAAACTCAGCGTCCACAAACTCTGTCCATTTTCCTCCTCGCCTTACTCTTCATCAAACCAGCAAGATGTCCATACCAGTCAGCATTGGCGACTGTCATTTACTCGTCAAAGGGCTGCGTAAAGTCACCAGCCCCCTTCGAGGGGAAGCTGTTGAGGAATTCAAGCAATACAAAACCATATACCATCAGCTGACCGGTTTGTCTGAGTACCTTGACGCTTTCATGGAATCCAATGAGGGAGCCCAAGACACCTTTGCGAAGGACTTCAAGCGTATTCGACGACTGCTGAAGCGATTCTATTCCAAAATCAAGGCCCTCAAACCGCATCTCGATAGGGGCCGTCCTCGGAAATCATTTTTGGGTGCCATAGTGAAGATTAAATGGCCACGCTACTCTCAGAAACTACAGCAGCTCCACAACGACCTCAAGGAGCAGATATCGATCATCACTCTCAAGAAACAATTGTACTCGGGGTGAGTGGGTTCCCATACCTCCCGCTGATTCTAATCTAAATCGTGATGCAATTTTATAGTCAAGAAAATCAACCGCTCGCGGACGGATTCACTCTGGTAGATCCCCGTGGCAAACGAGGCCACGTCGATTTTGTATCCGTCTCCTCATGGGCCGTACGCGTTTCATAACCAACCAAATCAACACTCTTCGTACTGACCTGTTTCAGTGTCTCCACGAGTTGCTCCTCCGGGCATTCCCCGAGAACGATCCCGGGAATGAGGCGATCGTCCATCAACGCTACCTCATTCACAAGGCCGATTCCGACATCGATATTCTGCCCAGCCGCCCTGCAAAGCCATTCAGAGACACAGTCAGCAAGGACGACCGCATTGAAATCAGCATCATCTTCCCACATGAAGACCGGTACGAAACACATTGTCCCCGCTGTGAGCAGGAAAGACGTGCAGAGTTTAGAGGCATGTCGTTGATATGGTGAGTGAAGATACGCAATCTCAGGATGTCTCCATCACAGATATCTAACATGCCGCTAGCCGCAACTGCGACCTTCTTCTTTTCTTCAAAGACTCGCACGATAATGCCCCAGACCCCCTCACTGAGGCTGTGCTCCAAGACATCCAGTCTAGCGGCAGGAGAGCATTTGTGGAGAAGTTCATTGCACAAACCACACATCAAGACGGTTGCTCATGCCCTCGACGCAAGGGGGCCTGCATCACTCAGCGAGAACTCCAATGTCGGATCATTTCTCACGTTGGGGGTCTCATAGCTCGTGGGCCGATGCCGCCAGAACGTCGGAAGTCTCGAATTCGGGACTTCTCGAGAGTGACACTCTGCAGAGTGCAATGGCCAGATTTGAGTCGCCACAACGTACATCGAAAAGCCTCCAAACAGCTTCGTCGCTCAATCTCGGGTATCAGACGACACGCTGAGTGGTTGGAAAGCAAGGATTTCCCGCCAGAAATCGCCTCGAGATTTCTCAATTCTCGAATTGGCAATGGGCGAATTAATCGGGCAAAGCTACTGTTCTTTCAATTCCTTGTCCAGGCGTTTCAATCCCAAGAACCTCATATTCACTACTCACAGGAAGCTGCAAAGATTTTATGCAGTTACCTCCATGGCATCGATGAAGAGATGGTCCAGTTTCAGGCCCCGAATTTGGAATTCAGGTGCCTGCTCTGGATCTGCTGGTATGTTTTGAGCACAGAAGCGGATATTCTTCGCAGTCACTCAGCGCAGTTGAATCGCTGGTCGATTCCTGAAGGTCTAACAAGAGGCCCGACACCTCTGATTTGGAAATTGGCTTTCCTTCCCCATGCTGTGATCTTTCCGCCTTTATGCAGATTCACACTTGATGTTGTTCTAGATTTTAAGGAGAAGTTGAATGAAGCGAAGCCTTTGCACATTCCTGTAGGTATCTATCAAATGGCCAAGAGATCTAGCTCAATTTCGACCCAGTTCTATCTCGACGGTTATCTCAACAACTATTTCTTGGCTTCCGGGGGGGGATGGCCAGCCTGTCAAGATTGGATGGAAGCAATTATGAGATCTAAGGGCGTCAAACTGGAATCGGCCAGTGTTTACTATGATCTCAGGCGTATTATGGAACATGGAAATTTCGAGAGCATCGTGTTAAGTATGGTGGCTTCGTGCCAGCAACTTGCTTAGCTTGAGTAGAAGAAGTCCATCACATTAGTAAACATCGAGAGGTGGAGGGGAGATTATTTCAGCAGTCACAGAAATGCGGTCCTAAGGCCGCTATTGATTTTGACCTGTTATATAAATCAAATATCTACTGTACGCAGTTGTGTATATAATTCATCAAATTACCACTTTTCTGGCCCGTGCACACCACGCGGTCGTCCGTGCACTTACTACGTCTCTTGTATTTCGTTTAATTACCTTAAATCTGGCCCGTGCATGTATTATATCTCTTCTCTTCTCTGTTTCTATTTTAACTTCTTATCTTCCTCTTTTCTCTTTAAATTATTAACCTCATTCAGTTACTTTCTACTCTTAGTATATATATCTAGTTATAAATACCTAGGTAAGATATCTTATCCCGATTTTTTAAAGAATCTTAATCTCTTTTATAATATTAGAGTGTATATTTTAGATACTAATATAATAGGTAGTTAGAGATATTTAGGCTAGCTAGTTATTAGTAGGGATATCTCTAGAGTAACTTAAGTAGGGTTAAAAGAGGAGGTTAGTATTATTATTAGGGAAAAATTATTATTTTTTCTTTTTATTAGAGATTCTTTCTAAAAGTTAGAGAGACTAAAAGAGCTTAAGGCTATTAGAAAGTCTATTAATTAATTATTTTTATTTTTAAGAGATTTATTTAAATTTTCTTACTATTATTATATTCTCTATTTAATCTTTATTTTTAACCTCTTTTAGATATTAGGCTGCTATAAACTCTATTAATATCTTATTAGTAAACCTTTTTATAACTAACTTAATATTCTATTTTATAAGATACTTTTCTATTAGAAGATATAAGCTTTAAATTAATCTAATTTTATATATATAATCTAGTATAATATTAAACTAACTGACTAAAATACCTATATAATAACTTTCTATATATTTTCTTTAATATTGCGGAATACCCTGGAATATCCCAATATTAACTGGAAAGTCTAGAGTAACTAAAGACCTATATCAATTCCTGGTAATTTCCGAAAACTTCTAGTAGAATTCCTATGCTAGGATTACTATAGAAATTACTAAGGAAGTTTCTATAGCAATACCGCCCGGGAATTTCCTAGGGACTGCTAGGGAATTCCCTGGAATTCCTCTATAAATAGATAGCTAGATTTCTTTTTAAAGAGAATATGAATTTTTACTACTTTTTATATATATCTGCCTATAGAGGGATTAATTCCCTTTATAGAATTCCCCTGTAGAATTACCTTTTATATTACTAATATAGCTTATATTATATTATTTAAAATAAGTTAATAAATTAGGTATTATTTTCTATTTTTTCTACTATTAAATTAAAGATTATAATAGAGTAGTAAATTAATTAATTTTACTTATTAAAGGGATTAATTAATATATTTTTATATTATAAGTATTATAAGCTAAGAATTTAAAATAGTAAATTTAATAGTATTAGATTCTAAGTTTAGTAGATAAATATAGCTAGATAACTTAATTTATAATTAAGTTATTACTTTTTTTTTTACTTTAATAGTAGAGGAAACTGCTATTAAGTAGAAAAATTATAATATTAATTACTATTTTAACTTTTTTAAAGTTAAATTCTTATAATAATATTATATTTTAAGTTAAAAAATAAATTTATATAATATAAAAAGTAATAGTAAGAAGTAAAAATAAGATATATAATTTCTATAAAAAATAGGTTTTAAAAAGAAATTAAATATACTAATATAGAAATTTAAAATATAATATAATAAAGAAATAAATAGTAATAAGTAAATATATAAATAGAGTAAGAAAAGTTAAAAAAGAGAATAATATTTAAAGTTAGCTTAAAAAAAAGAAAGTTTTTATAGTAAAAATATAATTAAAAAAGTATTTTATAAAAAGATATAAATTAAAATAGTAATGTTATATATATAAAAGATAATTTAATAAAGAAATATTAATAAGCTATAAAATTAAAATTTAAAGTAGGCTATATTAAATTTACTATTATAATAACTTAAAAAAAGTAAATTAAAATATAAGAAAAATAAAATAAGAAAATAATATTCTATATATAATAAAAAGAAATTATTATAAAATAGCTAATATAAAATAAAGCTATTTATTTATATCTTTAAGTATTTATTTATTATATATTAAAAATATTGTATAAAAATAATAGTAAATAAAATATAAATATATATTAAAAGAAAATATAGTAATATTAGCTGCTAAAAGATAAAAAAAAAATCAGTATATTTATTTAATTTATTTTAAATATTAATAAAAATTAAGCTAAAATATAAAAGTAGCTTTTATTTTTACTTAATATTTAACTAATTTTATATATTAAAATATTAATATAAAATAAATTAAAGTATAATATATATTTATATATTATAGAAGATATATAATAAATATAAAAGTATTATTATATTAAGTATTATATTAAATAGCTTATTTACTTCTAAAAATAGTAATTTTAACTTATTATTTTAATAGTTATTAAACTAGAAAATCTTTAAATTTATAATTACTTATTATTTTTACATTATTTATAAAGTAGCTAATTTCTAACTTTATATTTCTATATACTTTTATTATTTCTTTTTCTTATTTTTTTCTTTTTTAATATTATATAACTTTTTATTTAATAATATTATATTAACTTATACTATATATAAGTTATTTTTCTTTATTAATTCTTTACTAAGTAAAATATCTTTATTATTTATATTTTTTTCTTTTTTTAATATTTTTATAGTATTAATTTTTATTAATAATATAGCTAATTACTTATTACTATAATATAAGTATAATTAATTAATATCTTAATATTCTATTTATATTATTCTATTTTTTTAGTAGTTAGCTTTTTTTAGCTTTTATTAAATTACTAAAAATAGTAATTTAATAATTAAATAAATTAAATATAGCTATATTTATTATTAACTTTATATATTAGCTTTTATTATCTATTAGTTATTTATTTATAACTTCTAGCTTATAATTAAAATAACTAAATATAAATATTTAATTTACTATAATTTAAATTAAGTAACTTAGCTAATAAAATAATATTAAATTTTCTTTTAAATAGAATAATAAATAATTATTAAAGATTCTTAAGATTACTATTTTAATATTATAAAAAAAAAAGATAAAAGAAATTAATAAACTTAAAAAGTAATATAGCTTATTAAGAAAGTAAATTAATAACTATTAATAGTAGTAATAAAGCTTAGTATATTAATTTTATATTAAGTAAATTTTAATTTATAATAATTTATATTAGTATATTTTCTTTAGTTATATATATACTTTTTTACCCTTAATAAAAGAACTTAGTATTTAAATTTACTATATTTTTATTATATATATATTATAATTACTAAGGCCTAAGTTTTAAGTTTTAAGCTGCTTTTTTCTTTTTATTAGAATTCTATCTAACTTTTTTAACTCTAATCTTAATAAATATACTAAAAACTCCTATAACCTAACTTATAAAATACTCTAGATCCCTAATATCTATAATAACCTATTTTTATTTAAATTCCCCCTCTAGCTAGTATCTATATAGCTAGTATCTATACCAATCTAATATAATATAATAGCTTCTAAAATTAAAAGTTATATTAAGCTCTAGTAATATTCTAGAGAAAACTTAACTTCTTAAATTAATTATTAATATTTTTAGCTAAGTTATAAAGTATAGCTATTTCTATTTAATATATAGAATAAGATTGTAGATAAAATTTAATTTTCTTATTTATTAACTTTAATTTTATTACTAAGAAGTAAATAATATCTAAAAATAGCTAATATAATTTATTGCTTTTATTTAGATATTATAGATAGTATAGTAATAGCTTAAATAGATTTTCTTTTTTAAGAAAGCTTAAGAGGAAATTTAGCTTTTATCTTTTTAATTTATCTTTTAAATTCTAAGAGAATTTAAGATTATATTAAAATTGGATTTATAATATAAATATAATAAGTTATTTCTAAAAAGAGCTATTAAAGTGAAATTTACTATATTAAAAATTAGTTATAATAAAATAAGTATTAAAAGGGAAGTTAGTTTTTTAATAATAGGAGATATCTTTTTTATATTCTATTACTTAAAATAAGATTACTATTTTAAGGTTATTAACTATAATAGTAAGATTATTAATTATAGATAATAGAATTAAAGTTAGAGGAGTTAAACAGAAGTTTTAAATAGAAATTAGTAGGTAATAATCTTATTATTTAGCTATTATTTTTTTTAATATTAAATAAAGTATTTATTATTTATTTTTATTATTTAAGATTACTATATAGCTTTAATCTATTTAATAATATTAAATAAAGCTAAAAAAAACTAAATATATACTTTTTTATATTTAATAAAAAGTAATTTAATTATTAGTTATTAATTATTTTATTTTTATTACTTAAAAAAAAAGATAGATATATTAAAATAATAATATTAATATTATAATAAGATAATAAATATATATTATAACTTTAAAGAATAATTAATTATTATTAAATAATAATATATTTTTATTTTATATAAGCTATTAAATTTTTATAATACTTTTAATAGTTTTTTTTATAAGTAATAAATTTAATTACTTTTAAATTTTATTAAATTTACTTTAATTATAATTATAATATAAATTTAAAGCTAGCTAAATTACCTAAATAAAATATAAGAATATATTAGCTATATAAGTAAATAAAAAGAATTTTTATATTAAAATAAGTTTTAATTTAACTATAATAATAAGAGGCTATAATAATATTATTCTTATTAATAGAATATTAAATATACTTAGAAATAATATATTTATTTTTAATTATAATATTTAAGTATTTAAATAAAATTAATTTTAAGTAATACTATTTAAGAAAATAATAAAAAGTAGTAAGCTATAATAATTATATTTTTTAATTTACTATAAATATAATTTAAAGGAAGTAAGAAATTAAATTACTAATAGATAAATTATAAGTTTATA